GCTACTTTATCAGAATAGTTATACTATTTATACTCTTTCAGTAACATATAAGACTTTAGCTTGTTTCACCTTTTATCTAACATTTAGTGGTGTCTGTCTTCACTTTAACCTGTCTAGTTGGGTGTGTGTTACAATCACATACTGGTTTCATATTAACTTCAGTAAGTACTGGCTAGTAATGATTGAATTCTCTTTCACGTATGTTGCATGTTAACATACCTTTAGCGAACATTTTTTGCTTAAATCTTTTTGTTTATTTTGCCTTAATTATAAGTCTTCTTCACCCATTTTTTCTTGTGCTAAAATACATATCACATTAAATTTACCATTATAACTATTTTTACATGTAGAGTTCAGTGGTGTAAAGTACACTTATAATACACAGCCTTCATCACTATCTATCCATAACTTTTTAAAACTTATAATACTGAAACAATATAGTATCTTTCCATTCACCTTTCCCCAGAACCCCTGGTAGCCAGCCACATGTTACTTTCTCTGGTTTTGAAATTTTGAAGGCCGGGGATTTAGCTCAGTGGTTCTGGAGACTGCCTTGCATGAACAAAGTCCTGAGTTTGATCCCCAGTACCAAAAAAAAGAAAGAAATTTTGAAATGTATCTTGAGTGGTGGTCCAGTTTTCATGTTTTGCTAATATTTTCTTTCAGTTTTATAACTGATATAGTTTTATTTTTAATCTGTGAAAAGAGTCAGGGAGTTGTAAGTATTCAGTGAAGTATCCGAGGACTTAAAAATGTCTGGTACATGGAGAACACTCCATGTCATTATCTGATAAATTTCTGCTTCACAACAGCCAGTGGTTTTGCTTTTTAAAATCAGAGTGGAAATAAAAGAATTATGTTTGCATTCTTTCTACCACCATGTCTGTCCCAAGGAAGGAAGAGAGAGATAGGGTATAATAAAATGCCTTAAATTTCATTATTCTATATTTTGAAATTTTAGCTTGAGCCCGTTTTGGTTAGAATTCTGAAAGAAGCAATATGCCAGTGGACATATTCATGTTTGTTGGATTTTTGGTATTACGTTATTATTATATATGCACACAGTTTCACTCAAAGATGTCCTGAAAGTGACTGTCAATGTAAGAAACCTCAAATGGGTGTATTCAATATTTTTGACCTATTTTTAATGTCCCAAAAGATACTAATCAACACATTCTAAAAATAAACTAGAAACTTGTTATAACCCCATTCTCTGTAGAGTGAGTCTGAAAAATTAATTTTGTTGATAAAGCTTATGTCTTTTAGAAAGCAAGAAAAATGTGTTATCATGCATTCAAATTTTTCCTTTACCATATAATATTTTTCTTTGTCTCAGTTAACATTCATTGGTTAAAGTTATATTTAGTTGGCATTTTTGTACAAATGGTTGTGGTCATTAATTTAAAGGCCTATATCCATGTTTAGTCAGGAATTGTCATATTAACTAATCTGCATTGATGATGTTGAACTTGTATAGAAATAGTTTGGCACTGCTGAAATTTTCAGCATGTAAAGATGCCTGGGTTTGACACAAAGTCCTCACTATTTGTACACGTATTTTAAGATCTAAAGTGAGTATACTTACCATTTGGCTTTTAAGAAATACTAAATAATCAGTGGTTTATTAAGTTTCAGGAGGAAGTTTTAAGAAAATAGAACCACAACTTAACTCTGTAGTGTAGAATGTAACTTAGCCTATAGAATATACGACATTCTAGAGCATACATTTTTCTACTGATCCATTTTTCTATTTTTATTCCAATTTACTTTTTATAATTTTTCGTTCAGATAGCTGTACTATACAAACTAAGATTTCCTTCTGTGTATTTTTCACCTTCAATTTGTTAATTAAAACATACTTTGAAATTGTAACTCTTAATTGTGAAATTTTAGTGTAAAACTGTGGGGCAGAACTCAGCATTCACCCAGCAAAAAGTGGGTTTGGAAACAAAATAGACCGTAGCCATATCTGATATTCTAGTACCAGAGACCATGGAAAGAAACCACTCACCCAAAAATGCAGAGATCAGTGCAGCAAATGCAGATCATTATTTGCTGACGATATGATACTATACATAGAAGACCCAAAAAACTCCACCAAAAGACTTTCAGATTTAATTGACAGATTATTTCAGTAGAGTAGCTGGATATAAGGTTAACACTCAAAAATCAATAGCTTTCTTGTACACAACAGACTTACTGAGAGAGAAATTAGAGAATTCCTTTCAAAATAGCACCCCCCAAAAATGAAATATCAAGGAATCAATCTAATGAAAGAAGCAAAAGACCTCTACATTGAAAATTACAGAACTCTGGAAAAAGAGATCAAAGAAGATATAAGAAAATGGAAAGACATCCTTTGTTCCTGGGTAGGAAGAACCAATATAGTGAAAATGACCATAATTCCAAAACTGTTATATAGATTTATTGAAACCCCTAGAGTATATTTCACAAAACTAGAGAAAACAATCCAAAAATTCATTTGGAAGAAGAAGAGACCTAGAATAGTAAAAGCAATTCTGGGCAGCAGAGACATGATAGGGTTATCACAATCCCCAACTTGAAACTACTACAAAACCACTGTGATTAAAAACCGCATGGTACTGGCAAAGACACAGACCCAAGGATCAGTGGAATAGATTAGAAGATGCAGAAAAAACTGCAGACATACCTAGCCACCTCATCTTTGACAAAGGAGCCAACCATCCTCACTGGAGAAAAGAGAGCTTCTTTAATAATTGGTGTTTGAAAAACAGGGTGGATTTCACCCCGCCAAAGATTAAAACTGGACCCCTGTCTTCCACCATGCACTAAACTAAAATCCAAGTGGATTAAAGATCTAAATATATTAAAACAGAAACACTAAACTTGTTGAAAGATAAGCTAGGTAAAACTCCTGAAGACATTGGCATAGGAAAAGACTTTAGGAACAAATCCTTAGTAGTACAGGAACTACCACAAAGAATCAACAACTGGGATCTCATCTTTTTAAAAAACTTCTGTACTGCAATAGAAACCACCAACATCTAAGAGATAGCCTACAATGTGGGAAAAACTTTTTACCAGCTGTTCTTCAACAAAAATCTACTATCTAGAATATATAAAGAACTCAAAAAAATCAGGCCCCCCAAATATAAAGACCTAATTCAGAAATGGGCATCTGAATTGAACAGACATTTCTCAGACAAAGAAGTAAAAGCAGCAAATAAATATATGAAAAAATGTTCATTATCACTGGCCATTCAAGAGATGCAGATTCCACCTCATCCCAGAAGGAATGTCTGCTATAAAGAAATCAATAACAAATGCTAGAAGGGTTGTGGGGAGAAAGGAGCCCTTCTCTTTTGGTTGGTGGAATTGCAGACTGGTGCAACCACTGTGGAAATTAATATGGAGATACCTCAAAAAAACTAGGACAGAGGTCCCATTTGACCCAGCTATTCCTCTGCTGGGTATCTTCCCAAAAGAATTAAAAGAATAACACTAAAGTGATATATGCACACCCATGTTTATAGTACTACAGTTTGTAATAGCTAAAGCTTGGAAACAGCCCAACTGCCCATCAACTGGAGAGTGGATAAAGAAAATGTGTGTTGCTTTTTAGATATTTTTTGTTTTTTTTTTAATGGTACCAGGGATCGAACTCCGGCCCTTGCAATTGCAAGGCAGGCAGTGAAACCACTGAGCCAAATCCCCGGCCCGGTTGTTTTTTAAATGGAGTAATAGCCATAAAGAATGAGAAGTTAGAGACATTTATAGCTTAATGGATGCACATTAAGGATATACTCTTAAGTGAATAAATAGGACACACATGTAAATACCGAATATTTTCTCTGCTATGAGAAACTAAGTGTAAATAAAGATGAAGGGAAATAAGGGAAAAGAAAAAAATGTGGAAAAATGAAAAAATGGAAACAAAGTCTTTGTAAATAGGGGAGGGTGAAGTGGGGGAAGGGAGGACAGAGGTATGGGGAAAAAAGAACCAAGATATATCCTGTAAATTTACAAGATCCCAATGATAAAAGTAACTATTGTTTGCTTTGAATGTACCAATAAATTAATGAAAAAAGTGAATAAAACAGAAAAATCCAAAAAATAAAATGAGTAATTGATAATGTGAAATGGGAAGAAAAGGTACTAAGGGTTAGGAGAAGTGGGACGGGTAGGGGAAAGGAAAGAAGGGGAAGGAAAAGGAAAATAATACGAGATGAATAAATGTAACAAAGCTTTTGCAAATAGGCATGGAGGAGTTGATGGGAGGGCAGGAAAATGAGGAAAAAATAAGAACCGAGATACATCATGTAAAGGTACAAGTTCCCAATGATGAATGTAAATGTATACCTAAAATGTACCAATAAAATAATTTAAGAGAAAAAAATGTACAGGATAAGCTGGGTTTGGTGGCACATATCTGTAATCCCAGCACTCTGGGAAGCTGAGGCAAGTCCTGCCTGGGCATTTTATCTCAATGAAAATGTAGCTCAATGCTAAGGCCCTAGTTTCAATCCCCAGTACCACAATCAGCAAAATTTACAACCAAAACTGTTGAATGAATTGTATTAGTGAACTAAGGCGCCACTGTATTTTATAAAAAGACATGGAGACTCCATAAGTAATATATACAGAACTGTACCCCCTCCCCCAAAAAAGATGGATCATAAGTCAGAGCAGGTATTATAAGTCTGAACAGTCATTAAATAGGCAGATCATTGTACAAGGAATATCTGTATGCTGAACAGATAGAATAGAGGTATGAATACCAAAACAACCAAACCCAATGATAAATCACAAACTGAATCTTAGATATCTCCAAACTAGTGATAGGTTCTCTACCCTAAATGGTCTTGAACCCATAGTGCAAAAATAATAGGAACATGAGAGAAAAGGCAGCAAGATGCCCCTTCAAACTTCTAACTTCCTAAAAACTGATCTCATGGACATTAACATAGAGGAAACTATGGGAAAAGAGCTCAAAAACCAAATGGTCAAAATCTTTAAGAATACTTACCTGGCAGGGGAGATACCATGATCACAAAGTTGGTTTTCCCAGGGCGAGGCTTATCCATTGCACTCCTGATGTGCTGACCCTTGTGATTTCCCCAAATGTGGGAAACTCTACTGCATAATTTGTGATAGTCGGGGACTGTGTTCTCACTCTCCCCTGGTAAAAAAAGAATCTTCGAAGAGATAAACATATAAGCAGATACATCAGATGTTTAATGAGTTCAAAAAAGATTTAATTAAACACACAAGATTTTGCCAATGTTTGATGAGCTTAAAGAAAAAGCAAACAGTAAATTAAGCAAAACTATAAAAGACTGAATGATAGCTTCAAGACTGAATGACCACCTCAAAAAAGACTTAGAAAGTGTGAAAAGGAAACAAGCAGAGATGATAAAAAAAATTCAGTGGAAAGTGGAAGTAGCAGATTTGACCAGTGATGACAGTGTTAGTAATAGATGATAATGTTGATGTAGTATATCATATACTCAGTGATACCCTAAAAACAACAAGGCACCATACTATGCAAGCTGGATCTAACCCCCCCCAAAAAAAACCCCTCAGAATTATAGGAATAAAGGGAAAAAATTAGTAGGAAACTCAAAAGGTATAAATAATTTATTCATTTAATCATAGAAATTTGTCCCAATCTAGGAAAGAATTTAGTGTTAAAGTGCAAGTGGCATATAGAACCCCAAGTAGCCACAACCAGAAAAGAACCTTTCAGCCAGGGATTTTAGCTGTGTGACACCGGCCTGGCAAGCACAAGATCCTGAGTTCAATCCCTGGTAACAAAAAAGAAAAAAAAAGGAAAGAACCTTCCCACAATACATCATAATCAGAATTCCAGAAATTTAACAAAAAGAAAATACTAAAAGCTGTTAGAGAAAAACAGCAAGCAGTCTATACAGGCAAGTCCATCATAATAACTGGACTTTTCAGCACAGACCTTAAAGGCCAGGATAGCTTGGAACAAAGAATTTTCAAGCCCAAAGAAAAAATAATTTTCAAGACTTTGAAAGCAAAATTAGATTTCTCAATTAACAGAAGTAAAATTCCATGACAGAGAAATCCTAAAGAAATACATTACCACTGAACCAGCACTGTGGAAAAGAACTGATGGGAAACTGGTAAAGACAAGAGTGGCCACCAGCACCAAAAAGCACAAAAGAAAGTATACATCTAGCTGGATGAGTAATTAAACAAAAGGGGAAAAAAAGGAACCAGCATTGGAAAAATAATGTAATAACAGTGTTCAATAAACATCTTACAATAATAACTCATTGTCAGTGGTTTCAACTCTCTAGTCTGAAAACAGAGTGGCAGATTGGCTCAAGAAAAAAAAAGCATCCCTGTATCATCTACAGAAGATACACTTCATCCAAAAGAAATAGCCTGAAAGTGGAAGGATGAAAAAGAATACTCCATTCAACTGGAGCCTGAAATCAAGTAGGAGTAACTATCTTATTTTCAGACATAGACTTTAAGCCAGAACTAATCAGAAGAGACAAGATGGCTTCTACTACATACCAGTAAAGAGAACGACGGGAAAAGGTAACAATTTTAAATATGCATGATCAGACATCGGCACCCCTAACTTCATAAAACAAAAACTACAGGACCGGGGATTTAGCTCAGTGGTTCTGTGGCCTGCCTTGCAAGCACAAGGACTCGAGTTCAATCCCCAGTACCAAACAAACAAATAAAACAAAAAAAAAAAACTACTAGACTTAAAAGGACAGATACTCACCAGTTGTTGGAGGACTTTAGTACCCTATTCTCACAGGTAGTGGAGATAGAAAAGCAACAAACATCGTTTAAACCACAGCATTGAGCAAATTTACTTAATAGATACCTGTGTAGTATTTTAGCTATCTATAACCACTGTAATCTGAGTACAGAACTGTCCCATCCACACAGACTCCCTGGTGGTTTATAGTAATACCTGGTGCTTCTGTAACCCCAGTAATCACTTGACTGTTTTCATTATACTGACACTACCTGTTGAATAGCAAACATTACGCCTTATCTATTGTCATGTTCATAGCACAGGAAGGAGTGGAATTTGGGTGCTTGCTTTATTCTCTGCAGTAACTTTATAGGAAGGATTGACATAATGACATTCCCTGGAATTCAAAAATTTTAGATGAAATTTATTAGATGTTTTTAAAAATCTGGGAAATACAGGAATTATGTACCTTTAGAGTTGAGAAATCAGATTTAGAAATTATAGTAACAAAAAAATCTTCCAGGCAATTTTGTGAAGTATATCCTCTTCAGCTTATCAGTGAGGGTCTGTGTAGCCCCCTCTGAAGTCTGCACCAAATGTTTGAAGGTCACTGAGCAGAATTGTGCCCTTGGCTTCTGCAAATTCCTCTTTCTTGGGCTTACATTTTATGTCAATAAGAAAGCAGTTTATCATAACAAAACTGAGTTTTAACAATTGGACCTGTCTTTTGTTTTACAAAAGAATAAACTGGGCTGGGGATTTAGCTCAGTGGTTCTGTTGCCTGCCTTGCAAGCTCAAGGTCCTGAGTTCGATCCCTGGTACTGCCCCCCACCCAAAGAATAAACCAATGGAAGTGTAAGTAAAATGATTCTAGAATTAACTGGGTTGAATATTGTTCCTGTTAGTCTTAAGTGTGTATCATGTGTCATGAATGGAAACCATTGCTGCTTGTAAATCTTATCTGTGGAAATTAGCATTTATACACAGATACCTAAGTGTGATGACTGTTCATTTGCCTGCTCACTCATGAAATAAGTATTTATTGATTATATAGCTCTAGGGCCAGGGATTTAGCTCGGTGGTTCCGGCACCTGCCTCTCAAGCACAAGGGCCCGATTTCGATCCCCGTTACCAAAAACAAAAAACACACAGGTCTAAGTGCTAATGCAGAAAATAAAGCAGAAGTTGTTATTTTGTTTTTTGCAGTATTGGGGATTGATCCCAGGGCTTTCTCAATGAGCTGCATCCCTTTTTTAAAATTTTAAGACAGGCTTTTGCTAAGTTATCCAGGCTTGTCTCAAACATGCAATTCTTCACCTCACAGGATGCTAGGATTATAGGCATGCACCACTACACCCAACTTAAGTAAAGGTTTTAAGAAGTAGTATATAGACCAGAAATACCACATGTGGTCCATTGCTAGAAAGAGAACATTTTTTTTTGCCATAAGAGAAAAGAATGGTGCCAGATGTGGTGGCACATAACTGTTAGCCCAGCAGTCTGGAAGGCAGAGGCAGAAGAATCAAAAGTTCAATCCTGGGCAACTCAGAATTAAAAGAAAAGCCTGGGAATGAATCTTGTGTGAAGGCTATAGGTTCAATCCCCAGTACCACCAAGATATTAAAAACAAACAAACAAACAAAAGATACAAGAAAGGAATTGATAGATGGGTGCATGTGCTAGTGAAGTTCTAAGTTCCTGGTAGGTTAAAGAGAGAATTCTCATCTGTCTTTCATTTTTTCTGTGAGAAAGATGTGGATGTTGACTGGAGAAAGGATAAGGTTGCTGTATGGGAGAGCTTCCTAGGCAAACATGGTTGAATTTCCACATAGTTTTAGTTGGTCATTTGAGGTTTGTCATCAAGAATTTAAGGTGAAGCTTATTCTGTAATTCTCCAGTGATTTAACAGTAAGTATGATGAAAAGGTGATTGAGTTCATGAGTTGGTTTTATTAAGCAAATAAAATAGATAATGGGATTAGAGGGTCTTTGTAAAGAGGGACAAAGAGACAGTCATAGTGATGATGAATCGTTCACTATAGAAGAATAATTGGAGAAAAGTAAGAGGTTAATTAATGGCCAGGAAATCCTTGAACCAGTGAACTAATAGGCTAGGCAATAAAGTTGAGCAAAATATTTGAAATTTTCTCTAGGGCTGCTTTGCACATACTGTTCTTTAAAAGGCCAGAGAGTAACTATTTTAGGCTTTGAGGACCAAGGGATGAAATTGAAGTTATTATCAAAGTAGCAGTATAACAAGAGAGAAAACAAATTTCCACAAGTTTTTGTATTTATAAGATTCATAATGTAGTGGAGTGTTGCTTTGGTAATACTGAGGTACTATGAAGGATGGTGGGTAGCATTTTACTTGAAGTTCAAAATGAGTGCCCCCTGTCCTCATAGTCAATCACAGATGCTGTTGTCTTAATGCTAATCTATAAGGAGAATGTACATATTTCAACTTTTAAAAAGCCTTCATACTGACAAGTGCTCACAGATACTCATATCAGTCTATCAACACTTTTAATTGAACATGCTCAATGATTAGTCATTTACCGTATTCAGTTAACTTCTTTATATTAGACTTCAAGCTATTGTTGGTTTGTAGATTAATCACATACAGTGGTTAGATGGAAACTCCTCAGTTGCTAAGTTGAATGGGTTTTAAAGTATGTAAATTTTCTTTACCCTTGCATTGAGATCCCCAAAATGCTGTGGGAACAGTATTTAGAAATTTAAAAATTACATCCTTTTTAGATTTTCATAGAAATGGAGCTCTACCTGCTAGTTTTCACATTTGACTGCATTGCGGTATAAAACAGGTTAGCATCATAGAGATACAGATGTGTGAGTTAAATCTAAAGTCCCTTGAAACTAGTCATAGATTTTACAGTAGGATAGATTTTCTCAGTAGGATATTATTTATTTTTGATATTACTGATTTTTTGAGGACAAATTATTTCACTGTTTATCATATGTAAGACACCATGACTGTAGTAAAAAGAGTTTCTTTTTCATTTTTATCTACACAGCAAGTCCAGACTAGATCTTAGAATATGAATACAGATATTTTACCTTTTCCATGCTGTTTATGTTTACAATGCACAGACGTTCTGTAACCAAACTGTGTAGTATAGCACACAAAACTGGTCTGTAACATAGTATTCAGAAGCATTGGGTTTTATGATTTTCTTTATGTAAGTATGAGTTTTTAAACTACTTTAGTTTTTTTGTGCTTGCCAAGATGTGTCAACCAGCACAGAGAAAAAAAAAAACCCATATACAGAGTCTGCCCTGGCCCCCCAAATGTGTATATACTTTAGCAGTTCACCATACTAGTGAAATCTGGAAGCTAATGGAGACCTCTGAGCACCCTTGTAATTGTAAATGACAAAGGTAACTTGTATTAATCTCATAATATCTCAGTACAGTTAG